CAATACTAGCACTAATTGCTAGTCACAGAAGTTACAGAAATTAATAGAAGTAAAATTTCTGTTGAGCAGGAATGCCTGTTAACAGTAGCACTGGCTGTTGATGCCCTTGTAGATCAAACCCCTTTGTACAGGAAAGTTTGTGCATTAAAATCTCTAAAACCTACTCCTCTCTACTCTCTCTTTTATAGCAGCGTTCCTTTTTGTTTTTTTTTCCATGCCACCTTCCACGTTTCTTCCTCTCTTCTTTATTATTTCTCCATTTCAAATCTTCCCTTTAGTCCATTTCATAATTTCTCCTTTCCTCTACACTCACTTCTCACATTATTAAATAGGTGAAGAGTTATTGGAGACTTGATCACCACTTGCAAAGTACTCAAGTGCTTTGACACGGAAGACAAGGATAGGCTAAATTAATTGGGAGCCACTCGAAGTAGGAGACAAAAAAATGGAAACTTAGTATCAAGATGAGTTGCAAAGGCATTGCAAAAATAACAATCAGTTTCATCGTAAACAAACGCAATGCACTAAGAAATGAAGTAGACTTAACACTCAGCTTCAAATGTAGATTTGACTGAATCAAGAAACCTGTGCACCAGATGATTGAAGGATGAGAGGCAGGATCAAAGAGCTAAAGCTCATCCCCCTCATCCTCCCCCTTCCCCCCGGCAAGCAAAACTTAGTGAGTATACACACACATACACACTACCAATTTAAGTGAGTGTATACATCGTGGGGAGCACCTATTACGGTGCAAAGTTTTTGGCTTGTTCGAACCCTCTGGTGAAATTTACATCAATGTTTGATGTGAATTTTAATGTAGTTTCATAAGTTTCTCGCTATCATAAATGAGTACTTGTTTATCTTGGAGCTCGCTTGTCTGTGTGGGTCTGCTGGACGAGAGATTCAGTTGAGTGCTTACCTGTTATCGTATGTAGGGGGACAGAATTTCGGCTTTTGGACCTGCCTGTCAGCCGTTGTTTGTATAATTTCTTACAACCATTTTGTTCCGTGTGAGTGTTTACTATTTTTGTGCCTGCAGGACCAAGCTGCTAGTGTGTGTGTGTGTCCTCACCAATTTGTGCTTGAGGGGGTTGGGCTCTGGCTCTTTGGTCCCGCTTCTCAACTGTCAATTAACTGGTGTACAGGTTCCTGAGCCTATCGGGCTCTATCATATCTACACTTGAAACTGTGTATGGAGTCAGCCTCCACCACATCACTGCCTAATGCATTCCATTTGTCAACCACTCTGACACTAAAAAAGTTCTTTCTGATACCTCAGTGGCTCATTTGGGCACTCAATTTCCAATGTGTGTGTGTGTGTGTACTCGCCTATTTGTGCTTGCGTTTTTATTTATTTATTGTGTGTGTGTATGTGTGTGTGTGTGTGTGTGTGTGTGTGTGTGTGTGTGTGTGTGTGTGTGTGTGTGTGTGTGTGTACTCACCTAGAGATACCTGCAAGGTTGAGCCCCTGCTATAGCTTTTCTGGGTGTCTAATTTCCCACAACCACCTCTCATTACGTTACAGGTCAATCAGTATATCAAATCACTCTCCAACTTATCGAGTCCTTCATAAACCTCTCTTCCAATGTTCATCAAGGTCAACTTCCATCAATATATATATATATATATATATATATATATATATATATATATATATATATATATATATATATATATATATATATATATATATATATATATATATATATATATATCTCCATAGTCAGTTCCCTCAATTCTCGGAATTTTCTTACCATTTCTCAGTCACAATTTCGTGCCTATGAAGAGGGGTGACCTCCACCTCATGAGAAGGAGTTCATGAGTATGTTTTTGCTTGTTGTAACTATGTAGCTGTTACAACTACATTCTTACGAAAGATTCTTCTTTTCCCCCTCCGACCAGCAGACGCCCGGCCTTGCAAGAGTATCATTACAGTAATACGAGGACAATAACAGTGAAACAATGACAAATAGCTGTGTTTATGACCTCTCGTGAAAAACTGCTAAATGTATAGGTCTTCATCATTTAGTGTTTTGTTCTCTTTTTGTTTTATGAGAGATGTATAACACCATTGTTGTCTGTCGTCAGCTATTTTGGTCTTGGTTTGGTCTGGGTTTATGTTTTGGTGTCTTTTGTTTTAGCTGTTAAACGGGGCATGTTGTATTATATGCCCCTGTTTTTAGTTCTCTTTTACTTGTTATTTTTATTGCTGAAATACGTGTATGTATTGTTTTTATTTCATGTTTTTGTTAATACTGCATATTTCGATCTATTGTTGGTGTTTCATTCTGTATGTGTTTGGTTTTCTCTGTGTCTGTTGTAAATTTTTGTCAGTCTCTGACTCTTCATCTCTCTCACAGACACACACCTCACATTCCATCTCCATGACCCAATCGCGACATTGCTTAGCCCCCACTTTATCTCACTTCTCCCTTGTCCCTTCCACTACTACCCATCTATACACTCCCTTCTCTTCTCCTTTACTCTCTCTCTCTCTGTATCTCTCTCTCTCTCTCTCTCTCCACTTTCCTTCTTTGCCCCACTTCTCAACCTTTTGTCCCATTTTATTCTTTGATTTCCTATTTTCTCTTCCCCTCCTTAACTCTATCTTTCCCCCCTCTTTTCTTGTTCTTTCCATCTTCTCGTTCCACTTTTCTCTTTCTTGACCCCATTTTATCTTACACTATGTGTGTGTGTGTGTGTGTGTGTGTGTGTGTGTGTGTGTGTGTGTGTGTGTGTGTGTGTGTGTGTGCGTGCGTGTGTGTGTGTGTGTGTGTGTGTGTGTACCCTTAAATAGTTCTCTATCTCAGTTTCCGTCTGTTTGTTTGACTCTTTGTCTCGGGCTGTGGACCTCCTCCTCTTGTGATATCAGGGTGGAGCCCTCCCCATGTGATATTAGGGTGGAGCTCTTACCCTGTGATATCAGAGTGGAGCCCTCCCCATGTGATATCAGGGTGGAGCTCTTACCCTGTGATATCAGGGTGGAGCCCCCACCTTGTGATATCAGAGTGGATCCCTCACCTTATGATATCAGGATGGAGCCCAATCCTTGTGATATCAGGGTAGGGCCCCCTCACTCTATGATGTCAGTCTTAAGCCCATATTTTGTGGTATCAACATGGAACCTACACCATGTTAAAAATAAAAAGCATGCCTCAACAGGTTCAGAGATCCGCCACCAGAGCTCACCTACGATGGCAAGCTCAGCAGACTGTTCCTGGAGACTGTGAACAGCAAAGACCCATATGGGACATGATCTCTACGTTGATGATTGCCAGAGATAATGAGTAACTCAGCAAAGACCATTTGGTCACAAGATGCAGTCAGGTCTCACACAGAGACCTGAACATCTAAGTAACCCAGAGACATATCAGGAAAAGCTTCTTCAATTACGTATAGGGTAAATCCAAGACAAAACACTTGAAGCTAATAAAACATCCATTCATCACTCGATGAATGGCTATGAGACCGAGCCCAGTAACCGGAACTCATCCCAGGGAAGCACATACAGGTAGGCATGCACAAAGGCCTCCTCCCTTCCGCCACAGCTGCAACACCTCCAAAGGTCACAGGTACCGCTATGAGGTCACACGAGCTGACCCCAGGCGGGATTGAGAGGAGGTGGGTAGGGGGAAGCTGGAGGCAGGGAGAGAAGCACGAATGTTGGAGGATGGCCGGAGGAAGGTGGGGGGGAGGTACGAGGGGAGGAGGGGGAGATGTGGATAGAGGGGATAGGTTCAAACAAGTCCGTGACGGTGTGTGTGTGTGTGTACATGTGCAATCATCCCTAAATGTACGTTTCGCAACATTTTCCCCGTACCTGTTCACATACATTAATTGACTCAAGGATTTGCTTAATGTCACCCCTTCTATTAAGGCCCCATTCCCGGCGTGCTGCTGGTTGGTGTTCCCAGGTTTAGAGGCGAGGGTGGAGAAGGACTTCCTCTCGGAACGCAGTTTCAACATAGGGATGAACCAGGTTGGGTGGTGAGGGAATATAGCAGTTAGCCTTCAACCACCTCGTTGGGCAATGTCATGAAAGGCGACAGTGGGGCCCTTCTCCTCAATATATTAACACTTGACAGGTAAAATAAACTTGGATTGTGCGATTTACAAAATAATAATTATTTTTTTTAAGCATGTTTATGTTTGTAAATGACAGATGGATATTTACATGACTCTCACTCGATCATCGAAGGTCAGAGTGCACTAGCATTGCATTTGTAAATAAATGATTTCCCACGTCCTCGCACACATTAGGCTTATGGAAACGAAATAAAATTTCAAAGATTTGAACAGAAAATGAATCACAAAAATATTGTCCTCATATTTGTGAAGAAATGATTTAGAAAAGCAACTTGGGTCGAGGCCAGTTGAATATTTCATCCCTAAGACTCTTCTATTAGCCGCCGGCAGCGCCCCGAAAAAACAATAATTTAAGAAGTTACATCAAAAACAAAGAACAGTATGAGAGAGGAACAGAAAAGCATGACAGTGACAGGTGTCCCTCATCGTTCACTTGCCAGTGTGAGATACTTTTGGTTTATAAGTGTACAAATGTTTTTGGAAACGTTTTGAACAGAAAAGAATATGACCAAGAACAAAATTATGGCCGAGTTATTTCCAGGAATTTCGAATGTTCATAACAGATTAAATAGATCTAAATAGGATCTTTAAGAATAGAATACAAAACAAATGCCTTCAATGTGGAAAATTGAGCACATAGGCAAACACTTAAGATTTTCAAGCCTCAGTTAGGCAAATACATATGTAGGTGTGACTGGGTATATAAGATATATGGATATTCTATAAATAAGAGAATATCCCCCCCATCTTCCCTATCAAGGGCAGTCCTATAGACACGAACGACCTCATATAGGTAGGCCTATATACATAGAAGCTTTCTCCTATGGACAGACTTAGCATGAACCTTGTATTGGCTTGCTGGATACTTTGTTCATGTGTCATCCCTTGTTTCTTCCATCTTCAGCTCATCTTACCTTCCGTATGCTTCGTTCCTCTCACTCTCCCTCCTCATCTTCCTCTTCTCATTCCTCACCTCCTTCCAACTCTTCCCAGCCACGCCCACACCTCCCCCGTGTTCCGCCACGCCCACACCACCCCCGTGTTCCGCCACGCCCACCCCTCCCCCGTGTTCTACCACGCCCACACCTCCCCCGTGTTCCGCCACGCCCACACCTCCCTCGTGTTCCACCACGCCCACGCCACCTCCATGTTCAGCCACGCCACCTCCATGTTCAGCCACGCCACCTCCATGTTCAGCCACGCAACCTCCATGTTCAGCCACGCCCACACCACCCCCGTGTTCCGCAACGCCCACACCCCCCACCCCGTGTTCCGCCACGCCCACACCACCTCCGTGTCCAGCCACGCCCACACCACCCCCGTGACCAGACTGTCCCTCTGCCCGTTGTCCTTGGGCGCCACCGTAAGCTTGGTGAAGGTTGGACGTGCATCCTGTGTCTCCTCTCCTTAACACCTCGCTCGTGAGCCTCACACATCTCTCCTTAACACCTGACTCTAAAGCCTCGCCCGTCTCTTTAAAGCCTCAATCTAGAAGCTCTATCAAAACCTACGGGCTCACCATAGCCCGTGCTACATGGACATTTCGTTCTGAGTAGCTAAATCTAAAACAACAACAACAACAGCTCTATCAAACATTCCCCGCTCACGTAAGGAGGTAACTACGAGAAGAAATCACCGAACCTGGAAAGCCTGTTGACCACTCATCCTAGATAGCCTCCAGAAAATCCTAGATAGCCTTCAGGAGTCCCTAGATAACCTTCAGG